CGTGTTACTGATTCACTGTCTCGTTCTCCTCTATCGACTAAGGTGAACTCGTCATAGTTTCAAGCATATCAAGTGACGAGCATGACAATAAAATATTTTTGTATTATACTACATAGGTAAATAATACCTTGCCTTATATATCTATGATCAGTATGACTTGTACAACATGCAATATGTCATGCAATATATCAAACTTCTAAAACTGGAATTCCATCCATCCAAGTACAGTCGACCTGTACTAAACCACATTCATCAGCCGATGATTATGGTTTTTACAAAAGCTTGTTGACTAAGATGCAGTGACTATCTAATACTTTGCGACTTTCGTATGTTTTCTCTCGTAACTGTTTATAATGTAACAAAAACTACTTTCAAATTAAAATGTATCTTCATGCCATGCATGAATTGACTGAGGTTGATAATATGAAAACCATCAATTTTATTATAATTATTATTATATTGTGTTAACTTCATACTCTGAAGTACTTGAATTTGATCTAATGATGTAATGGATAATTATTCTAATAAACAATTTTCAAACTGGAAAAAACAAATGTAATTTCGACATTTCATAGATTAATGTTTGAAAAAATACATTGAACATTGATGTAATTTACATAGAAGACAATCCTTTATTGAATAAAATCAAAATTATCTTTTGGTCTATTCTCCTCTTGTCTGTCTAGAAATCATCATTAATGTCTGATTAATTCATGAGATAATTGTAGGCGTAATCAACTTGTTCAAATCATTTTACACACTAATGAATTATTGAACACATTGAATAGAAAGCGGTATTTTTGTAACATGTAATTACTAACTTATTTAGGTTGTTTTATCGATTTTACATGGGATATTTTTAATATGTGGAATCAATTTCAATGAAGATTTAGTGGAATATTGACTGGTTTCTATTTATTTTCCTATGTAAAAATAAGTAGTAGTTAATATCATCAAACAATCTGTAGGGTTCGTCACTAACTACGCTTGAAGCTATGACGAGTTCACCTTAGTCGATAAACACGAACGAGACAATTACCAGCGTCCAGGTAGGTTACCTTGAATCACAAGCTGAAGATAGAAAGGCTTTGTAAGAGTAGAAAGTGTATTCTACAAACACCCAGTAATCACAATACAATCAAGCACACAACTCTCGTTTATTTATACATCATAGAAACGTCCTTGGGACAGTTACGAAAAAAGTACACTAAAATACACAGCAGCCAATCACAGCCATGGATTTTCATGGTGGGAAATGAAATCTCAAGATCAACTGATCAGGCCATGCTGGCAAACGTGAAATCCGAAATAAGGCATTTAACAAGTGAGTTTTCGGGGTCTAACATCCCCAACACAATCATAGAAAGATAGGTAACAAATTGAAAAATAGATGTTTCCTCATAATGTGGGGATCCTCAAATATGCCTGAAACACTTCTAGGATTACTTTCAGTCATAAAAGATGAGGGTTGGGTATGGGATTACCAACCCCGTCCCTTAGAATACAACCTTGATAAAAAAAATGCCAACCAAAAAATTATTTTAGCGATTTAAACTCTGCTCTGATAGTTAAAACGTCTTCATTTAAAAGAGTTCTGCCTCTTCGCGGTCAAACCTGAGTTTCTTCACATATCATGAGGTCAGTGCGCTTTCTATCAACCAGAGCAACGATTAACAAAGGTACTCGGAACGGTCATACAATGTAGGAGACTGTGAAGGCCATTGAAACATCTGTGGATATGAAAAGCTACAACTTGGTGGTGCTCGAAATAAATGGAACTTATTTTACACAAACTAGACAGCGAACATTGGCATCAGGAGAGGTGCTGTTTGTAATTTCAATCATGAAGGCAAAAATACCTATCACACATAAGGAGCTGTACTGTAGCTATCCTAGAAAGCACTAAAAGCACTTGTAGGATAGGAATTTTGTGTATTTAGGATCATTACAGCATCATTCGAAACAAAGGCGAAGATTAAAATGAATATCAATCAGTGCCAGGCTCTCAGCGACGATACCAACAAAAACGATAAAAATCAGTTTTACGAAAGGTAGAAATGTCTAGAAAACGACCTGACCATTCTGATAGAAAATCTAAACAACAGGGTTGGAATGAACAACATCAGATAAGAAGATATCATGAAACGACATGGACTGAGAGAAAGGAACGAAAATGGTACCTTCAACAAAATGGTTATGGGTGGGATTATATTCCTTCACATAACTTATATATCAAGCGGAATTGAAATAGTTAATCACTAAAATTGTTATTTACCAATCGGTCCTTAAGAGAGACTTATGTAAGGATAACAGCTGAACTTGCTTTGGAAATGACACACTAATAGTTTTTATAAATTCATTTGACTATCGATACTGCAATGCAATGAGAAGTTAAACCTTATCACACTTGTAAATATTTATATATATACATTGGGGTAATTCATTTCGAGTAATAGTCTAATCACAGATTTACCCCCTAAATTATAGATATATTAGAAGCTAATTGTTTAATTTTCATGACTTACACAATCCTTTATAAGAAAACCAATGAAAAGCAGAGAGAAATGAATCGATTCCTCGTCTTAGTATGCGACTGTTCTGAAGTGCATTTCCACTAACCGCCCCACTGGCGGGGATTGACCTCAGGACCTTCGCTCAAAACCATTGAGCTGGACTTCAGTTCTACTATTAAGAAATGATTGAAACTAGACATATGAAACATCGAATGTTCAACCAGTGGGTCTAGAAGATAGAGACGCACAACGACACAAAATTTCTTCGGTTCAATCCTGGATAGGGTTGAGGCTACATATTTTTGAATCATCCTATGTCGAAATGCAAAAGATACAAAATTATTTCTGGTCAGTCAATGAAATAATCAAAGACGAAGAGATGAGTGGTAGCTACAAGAGGAGTCCAGGCAGTTAATTTTATTAGAATATTCATTAAATATCCGAAGAGAATTATTTTAGTAAGTCTAATTCTATTGGTCGATATTATGGTCGTCCTAGCTATCAATGTCATGTACTTCAAATGTTGTTTCCTATTGGTCGTTCTAAATGTCAACGCCACAGACTTCAGTGTTCGTTCCTATTCTACCTAACTGTATAAATAGGCATTATCTGTAACGTTTTATGATCCAGACTCAGATCTCGTACTTTCTGGACTCTTGTGGAATACATGTTCTACTTCAGATCAAGTATTTTCCTTTTACTCAATGGGGATTGGTACTATCAAATTAGAGTAGCCTGTCGTGTCGCCGGATCCTCGATCCTCGCTCTCCTTTACTGACTAAGGTAAACTCGTAATAATTCAAGCATATCAAATGACGTATTTACGTGCATGCATAGCATATTTCATTCTATTTAGAACTCTACAGAAGGATGCACTCACAATACAGAGTTACTGTTTACCCCAGGTAGTGAACCCAATATCATTCCCTTCAAACATACACTTGGTTAGACAGTACCTTTACAAATGATGTCATCCGAAAATAAAATTAATCAACAAAACATTAATAGAGAATCAGATTTATTGAAATATTAGTTACAATAAGAGACTCAACTGTATCCACCTCCTAGTATGTATTGAAAAATAATTCGAATTTATTCACTCTCATAATGCTCGTTTTTTACTCAGCTTAAATCACAAAGTGATCTTAGTTAGGTTACTACTGAAAACAAAGAAACACTGGACAGTTGTTTGTTCCTAATTTGGAACTTTATATCAAAGTATATCTAAGCCTTCATCTCCAGGTCAAAACCCCATAAAATTTGGTCTCACTTGTGAACGGTTAACAATTAGACTGTTGAGTTGGTATTAATATTCAACTTCATTCAATACAGAACATTTTGTTTGGTTCAACCTGATACTTTTTAAATGGAAATATTACAAGAAACAAACCTATGATTAGATGATTAATTGAATTGTAGCCCAAAATGACTTAAATTTAGTATTTTTGTTATGTGATTAACAGCACTGAAATCCACTACACATGTTTTGTCTTATTTGGGTTTATTTGCATTGGTGTGCTTGATTCTCAGTGTTTAGACTCGTCAGTCAGGAAGGTAGATTAGCGTTGGTCTTAGGGACCTCGCAAGGTGACCATAGAGTCCAAGGGACAACTGCTTGAGGCCAGTTTTTAAAGTGTTACCTCCGCTCTTGTTAAAAAGGCCTAACAGCAGGAGACGGAAATCTGTGAGGTAAGCAGTACAACTTCGCCCACAGAGCTTGAGTTGCTGCTTTTTGTATCACTGTTCCCCAATCGACCTGCCTGGCATGGTAGAACCTACAGGAACATATGTTCCAGACAATATAGCTTGATCCGATCATCACGATAGGCAAGCCCGACCACCACGTCAAGCTAGAAGCTACGGTTGGGCTAAAGCTCGTACTAATCACTCCATCGAATTAAATTTTCTCTATACGCTCATCTGATATGAACGATTCATTATTTGTAGTTTAAGAAGAAATAATTTTATACCTTAACAAATTAATTGGACCTATTGATTATAGTCGTAAAATTATATCAACTTATAAATTTATGTTCGCAAATAATAAGTTATTGATTAATTTATGACTCATACTACTCAAATCTACACGCCATGCTTTTGACCTTCTGAAAATTTTGTTTTCAATTGTTGACTGTAGTAACTTCTACACAGAGCTTCACTACATACTACTAGTGAGCAATCATTTGAGTAGGACTTACCACACTATTAGGAAAATGTACTGCAACACAAAATGATTGGCTATAGTAATTACAATTCCTCATCAGTGTTCTAGCACTAAGAAGCCAAATACGGTGTCAGCAAGACGTAGATAAACGGAATTTAGAAAATAAAGATAGTCCAACTCAACAAACTCTAAACTGACACTTAACTGAGATTAATAGTTTCAGTTATGCCCACTTTGTCCGATCTAAAACTCATCAGTTGAATGTACCTTTATCCACTGCTAACCACTATTTATCTCTGCTTATGAATGCATGTGACTGCACAATGGTAATCTTCACAAGCATACACTTACGCCAAATGAGAATGATCAATCACAATAGAAGTTTATAAGTAGCGCGCACCACAGTAGTAGTAGTAATAGTCGGAGTAGTAGTAGTAGTAGTAGTAGTAGTAGTAGTAGTAGTAGTAGTAGTAGTAGTAGTAGTAGTAGTAGTAGTAGTAGTAGTAGTAGTAGTAGTAGTAGTAGTAGTAGTAGTAGTAGTAGTAGTAGTAGTAGTAGTAGTAGTAGTAGTAGTAGTAGTAGTAGTAGTAGTAGTAGTAGTAAGAATAGTATTTTTTCGACATCATCTGAATTAATTTTTCTAAATGATTACAGTCCGTAAAATACCACATAAACTTGTATTGTGATGGATCATTCTCATTTGGGCATAAGCGTATGCTTGTGAAAGTTAACCATTGTGCAGTCACATGCATTCATAAGCAGTAGTTTGTGAAGCGAGTGAAAACCTAATGTCTGACAGCAGAAGATGGGGGAAGATCAAGAAAGGAAGAGTGGGAACACAATGGAATTTGTATGAAACGCATGAATAGTGAAATGTCAGACAATGGATTGATGATGGATTGAAGATTTGCAAATTAACGGCTACGATATGGTTTTCCTATTTTACTGAGTAACTCTGTAATTTTCGCTAAATACAATTCGGTTGACCTTACCTGTGTTCTCCTTCACTACACTACTACTACTACTACTACTACTACTACTACTACTACTCCGACTACCATTACTACTACTATCACTTTCGTTCACATTCTCTTTGGTGCAGATATACACACTAAATGACTATAATATTAGTTCATATATGAAAATTTCAATCGAATTTACATAGTATGACCAATCAATTCGGTCGGTATTTCTAATGATGCATCGCTTTATTGTTTCAATGGTAATTTATACATATTTACAATCACAGTAATTATTTGTTGAGTATTTCAGTGAACAGTTGTTTCAAATGTTTTCTTCTAGATGAGAAGAGATACGTTCTCGGTGTTGTTATTGTTGTTTTGAACAGTAAGAAAAACATCAAGCAAAAGTGTACAACAGGCATTCGATTTGTGTGCTTTCCAGATTCTTGTCAGTAAATTTTCCTTCAGGCATACATACACATACACACACACACACACTGACTCATATATTTGTGGATAGACAAAGTAATTTTCCAAAAAAACACAATAGTGATTTGTGGTGGTTAATCGCTGAAAACTTGCAAATACCATGCATGACCTACTAATTTATCCATAGTGTGTGTGTGTGGGTGTATGTTTAACTGAATACCGCATAAATGATGTTTCTTAGTGGAACATGGTTAACCAAAGTCATTTTGTTGAATAAATTGTCTTTTCCGCTTATCAATTGAATGAATGTTTCGTCAAAAATCGTCAATGTACTGATTGTACACAAAGTAGTTTGTGATAGAAAACTGTAAAATTGTTGTTATCTACAAGAATTTCAACTGTTCTCTGTTACAAACATTATCAATACTACTAGTACTATTAATGTTAGTAATACATACATATCATTTGAACTGTGTTAATTATTTTTACCCTGTTTCTTATGATTCATCATTGTCAACAGCTGTTCATGGATATTTGCTTATTCACTTATCTACCAACTGATGAATGATGTCTATCATATCAAAAAATAAATCCCCTATTTCAAATTGTGATTGTTGTTAGTTGTGGTTGTAGGCAATGGGTGGTTGTGCTTCAACTGCTTCAGTACACATGAAATCTAGTCTGGGTTGATAGCGAAAATATTACAAACATACGAGAGAGAGGAGAAACTAAACAAGGACAGAAAAACAAAAGTACCGATTCGATTCAATTTGGGAATTATATAAAGTGTCATTGATATACAGTTTAGGGTATTTATATACTGTTGTGGTTTGATTCGGGAAGCACGGTATTCAGTGGACAGGTAGGACGCAGCTGGACGATGTGGACTTCGCAGATCGCCTGGCATTTCTATCGCACACGCAACAATAAATGCAAGAGAAGACGACCAGTGTAACAGCAGCCTCTGCAGCAGTAGGTCTCAACATACATAAAGGAAAAAGCGAAATTCTCCGATGCAACATAACATGCACCAACCAAATCACTCTTGATGGAGATGCCTTGGAGGACGTTAACACCTTTACATATCTGGGCAGCATCATCGACGAGAAAGGTGGATCCGATGCAGATGTGAGGGCACGGATTGGCAAAGCGAGGGCTGCATTTCTACAATTGAAAAATATTTGGAACTCCAAACAACTTTCAACCAAAACCAAAATCATAATTTTCAATACAAATGTCAAGACAGTTCTACTGTATGGAGCGAAAACATGGCGAACTACCAAAGCCATCATCCAGAAGATACAAGTATTTATTAACAGTTGTCTACGCAAAATACTTGGTATTCGTTGGCCAGACACCATCAGCAACAACGTACTGTAGAAGAGAACAAACCAGATTCCGGTAGAGGAGGAAATCAGGAAGAAGTGGTGGAAGTGGATAGGACACACACTGCGAAAAGCATCCAACTGAGTCACAAGACAAGCCCTCACTTGGAACCCTCAAGGTGTAAGGAAAAGAGGAAGGCCAAGGAACACATTACACCGAGAAATAGAGAAGGACATGAAAAGAATGTATGAAAACTGAAAAGAACAAAAGCCGTCATCCACGAGATTCAGTTGTCTTAGCAAAACTATCCGGATCTTGTGGCCTAAACAATCAGTAACAACCTACTGAGAGAATAAACAAACCAGATCCAAGTGGAGAAGTACGTGAAGTGGATAGGACACAAGAGAAGGAAAGCATCCAACTGGGTCACAAGACAAGTACCCATTTGGAATCTTTAGGGCCTAAGAGAAAAGGGCAAAGCTGGAGAATTCATTACGCCGAGAAATGGAAACAGACACGAGAAGAATGAACAACAAATGGATGGAACTGGAAAGAAAGGCCTAGGACAGAATAGGTTAGAGAATGGTGATCAACAGCCTATGCTCCATTGAGGGTAACTGACAGGTGTTAGGAAGTTACAAATATAATTTTTCTACTGATAAACGATAAGTATGCAAATGAACTTCAATAAAATTTGATGAAAACTGATAAATTATGAGATAACTAATGGCATCAGTGATGTACTTACTAACTTTATGATCCTCACTGGTGCTTGAACAGCCACATCAATTAACTCGATGCAATGAATTGAACTACTATTTTGTGACTTAACTGAATCAATCTCGCTATTGAATTAGACTATCAAGTGTTTTCAAATTCAAAACATCGTTGAATTGTGATTGCATTCACTCTGAACACTGAGATAAAACATGTTTCTGTCTCAATAAGACGAATGTATATGATAAATTGGCAAAGTCATTCTAATTCGATGAATTATTTATACATTGAAGTAAGTTTTATTATTCAACGAGTCTTTTGTCAAAAGAACACATGCAAAACTAATAAGAAACAGAAAACAATTGGAGTTAAGTAGCCTAACTGACAATCGACTTATCGCTGGGTGATTTCCTTCTTAGTTCTAACCGAATCCTATTGACCGAACCGGATTGAATCCACCAGGAAGCATTGGTTACCCTAGAATTACAGGTATAACTTGTTGACGAGTGCTGAACAGCAATAAATCTGGGTCCAGTGCTTCCAATCGACTACCTACAACCGCCACCTTATCACTTCGGTGTAGAAAACATCGGACTGCGTCACAAGACAAGCCGTCATCTGGGATCTTCAAGGCCCATGAAAAAGAGGAAAACCAAAGAACACATTACGCCGAGGAACGGAGGCATACACGAGAAGGATGAATAACAATTGGATAGAACTGGAAAGGGAGGTCCAGGACATAGTAGGTTGAAGAATACTGGTCGGCGTTCAGTGCTCCACTGAGGGTAACAGGTGTATGTAAGTAAGTAAGTAAGTCAAAAGGGGAGGGGACAACAGCCGACGAGTTACAAAATTTCTTGTACATCTATAGAACAACACCAAATCAGTTGTTACCGGAGCAAAAGTCCCCAGCAGAAATCCTGATAAGAAGAAGACAAAACGATCCACAGCCTGATGCATCCAACTAACGCACCAACATCAGTAGAGACAAAGCAGCAAAGGCAATCCTATTACGAAGTGGGATGCCCTGTGTTCGCCCGTGACTACAGAACAAATCATGGTCCTTGGGTAGAAGCGCGAGTGATCAGAAGCGTTGGGCGAGTTATGTACGAAGTAGAAGTAGGAGGCAAAAGATGGTCACACCATCGAAACCAGATACGCAAACAGCTAACCCCAGATCGCCCATCAAGGGCAGAAAATCTTCCTCTTGACATCCTGCCTAAGACAAAATATATTGGGTAACGGTCATTGCACCTGTATGGTTAATAATGATGATTATCATTCACATAAAGCTCTATTGATAAAGAAATAAATTTCCCTTAGGTAATAGTTATATTATTTACTTGTGTGAAAGCTTGCACCTATTGATGACAAACATTACTTCACATCAGAAAGTCTTATTAAACAATACTTTTCCCCTTGAATAATTAAGTTTCTAACTTTTCAGTTTTGATTTGAACTGTTTTATCATAATGATTCATGAAATAGATTGATAGTTAGACATGAACACCTCTGAATGCCGATTCATTAATGCAGAGGTTAATTGTTCGTGCGCGAGACCGACAGCCCTGAGTTCAATTCCCGCAAGTAGAGTTTGCACATGCGCACTGCTGACGAGTCATAGAGCTTGTGTGTTTCTAACGTTGGTCTAACAATGACTAACTCACGATTTCAATCTAACTGAATCGGTTCTCAGTCGATGCATAAATGATTTTATGGTCATAGCTTCGTCATCGTTAAGGATCTCTCGACTTTCAACTAGTGTATATTGGCGTCCAGTTCCTTGTTTATTGAGCTGAATGTTTTTCGTTATTATTTTCATTTGTTAACTTGTTTCAGGAATTTGGAAGCAAAATTCAAAATTCCCAGTCACAGTTGATTATTTATTGACAGAAGCCATGTTATAAATAAAGTGTGGAAAACAAATCTTGCATTACCGTATTATGGAGATCGTTTTTTCTACACGTAGAAATCATGATTGAATTATTATTACACAACCATTGGAAACCAGCAAAGACTAGACAGTTGTTTTGTCTTAGTACAAGACTTATCAGCATGGGCATCCACGACTCCTGTCACTTACATTATTCGAACCCAGGACCTTCGGTTTTGCGTGCAAACACTTATCCGGCATCCAACAGTGTTAATGTCTAACTATGATCAATCTAAGGATTTTGCGCGACCTCAACCATTGCCTTCTGTAGTTACTGCCTATACCCGAAGGTCC